TTAAAAATACAGTAAAATTCCTACAGTGGAGACACCACCCAAGATGATGTGATTGTGTCCGACCCAGCTCCCAATCAGATGGTGTTTGCATCACTTGTCCTGCATAAAAACCATTCCAAGTCTCAGTAGGGCTGATCCAGTTCTCTGTCAACACTGAGGTAGACAAAAGACCTGGACATTGCCAATCAGAGAACCCCATCCCTCTGGACTGAATAACTGAATCAGGAAGAGCACATGCTCCAAACCAGGCCAACTGGAGCCTTCCAGGGGAAAAGAGAAGGAAGTCATTTTTGTTTGGTTTGGTTTTGGTTTTGGTAGAGCAAAAGATGGCCCCTTTTAAATGAAGTCACAAAACTTAGAGGGTATGAAGCCAGGCCAGGCTATAGCATGGTGTCCACTTCATGGTCTACCCATGCAGACCACTGCAAGAAAATTGAACAAGAGCAGAGACGCAAACCCAGACGCCTAACAATAAAATAGGAACTCCAGATTCCTATCATGTCAAAATCATCTCTGTCCTAGATTTTCCAGTTATGAGGAGATAAATATCCTTTTAATTTAACCTACCTTGAGTTAGGGTTCTGTCCCTTGCACCAGAAAGAGTCCTGAATAACAAAATCTCACAAATGCTTCTACTTATATATAAAGATATCTGGAAACTTCTATCTTGGGCCATTGGACCCTATATATTTTAGTTGTAGATGGACACAATACCTTTATTTATTTATTTATTTTTATGCAGTGCTGAGGCTCAAACCTAGTGCCTCACACGTGATAGGCAGACACTTTACCACTAAGCTACAACCCCAGCCCCTCATGGAATCTTGATTTTCAGGAAAACTAGAAAGTAGCTCTGCTTCTCAGTTCTTACATTTATTAGTTAAATCTTAGCCCGAAGATGTCTTTGTGGGGAGTTATATTAAATACTTTAAAAAAAAAGACTTTATAATTTTTAAATCTTTTAAAATTTTAAATATAACATACAAAAAATGCATAAAAGTTAAATATACACTTTAATGGATAATTGATTATGAAGGAAAAACAAATAATTTTGAAGGACTTAGACAATCATCACCAAGGCTAAGAGAATGCTGCCAATTCCCCTGAAGCTCCCTGTGTGCCCCTTTCCAGTCATTATCCCTGTGTTTCTTTATCCTGATTTTAACAGCAATTGCTTCAATGGCATGCTTTACCATTTTGTCATCTCTGTTATATCCTAAAAACTTTTAATTTTGACTGTTACTATATTTTATTTAATTTATTTATTTTTCTGAAAAAAATATTTATTATACCTTCCTTAAGGCAAACCATTGTATTAAGAATGGGGTCAAGAGGGAAAGAAGTAAAGACATAGTTCCTACCATTCAGCTTACATTTTATATAAAATATAATCTTACATTTTTAACTAAACCTTGTGTTTATAGGATTCACTCATATTAGCATGTAAACAAGCATTCCATCGCTACACAGAGTTCTACTGTACAAACACACCACTATGTATCCATGTTAATGCCTCACTGTAATTCTAATACTGGAACTCTGTTAAATACTGGTCTTGGGCAATTCCAGGCCATGGCTTTTGTTGTATGTGTGCTAGGTATTTCACCAAGGAATTAAAAGTCCATCTAGGAATGGAATTGCTGGGTATGTGGATAAAGTCCAAGTGGTTTCTAGAGGAGCTGTGATTATAGTTTTTTTTTTTTTAATTCAATGGTTTAAACATTCTAGATTATTCAAACATAGTTCCATCATATATATATTATATATACACTTGAAAATGAGCCTCCTTTTCTGAAAGTCCCAAAACAGCCCATGTCCAATAAAAAAAGTTTAAGACTTGACAATAATATGGCAGATAAATACATTGGGTTAAAAATTATCTATGATCTTTACAATAAATGAAATATGTAAGTATTAACCTCCAATTAAGCAAAGACTAATATTAAAATGAGGATATGAAGGATTATTACTGCATTCTTCATTTTGAAGGCAGTTGAAAGGATGGTCGCAAACATTATTCTCCAATTCTAAGTGATAATCTTGTCATAATCTCATAAATGTATACCAACATCTCCTCTTCTATCCCTATGCATAAACATGTAATTTTTCCACTTAATAGACACATGTTACAAAGCATCTGGAAACTTCCAAGCTAGGAAAAGAGAAACTATTTCTTAAAACTATTGAGACATGGAAAAACTTAAAAATTCAACACTTTGTTTTTGGACATACTTTTGCTTTGGCCCTCCTTTCCTCTTAGACAATGAATGTTAAACATAAAAAGACTATGGGTGAGGAAAGGCAGCATCCCAAGAAGCAGCAGTCTGACAGTGATTAATACGGGGCTGCCAAAGTATGTCTGACAGGAAAAGAAGCAACAGCTTATGAAACTGATAAAAAAATAAAATCAGTCAGCAAGACACTAATAACATATCTCCCTGGAGCCTGAGATAGTGTAATTCATGAATTATTCAAGCTAACCTGTATTCTTCTACCTATTTACACAATGGAGGCAAAATATGGGACTATGCATAATTCTATTAATATTAACATAGAAAGTACAAGAGATTGGACTGAATTTTGGTTCCTCTTGTGACGTACCTTGGAAATACTTTAAGTGAATAAGTTCATAATGCCTGACTTATCATGTGACCCTCATTAGAAGAGAGTAGTAATACAGAACAAAAATCTGGGTATTTGAATTTTCTAGTTATTTGACTCATTCTTTCTTTAACAGGTATGTTTTCATCTAATTAGGAACATTCAAATAATCTAACCCTTTCAGAAATCTCAGAACAGATTTCTCAAGAGATTTTCTTCTCACTGTACTTTAATTAGTATGTTATAATGTGCTAAATGGAATGCAGGTCAAAATTGCTAAACTATGGTACATATGAAGATTATTTTGTTAAAAACAAAGCAACCCCAGCCATGACTTGAATATCAGCTTCTCATCCGAGTGGGTATAAAGGTTTCCTTTAGAAGAAAGATGGCTCTGAATTTGATGAACACTCACAACACCACTTGTGTCCAGTCTCCTGAGGTAGGGACCAGACTATTGTAGATCCTAGGTGAGTTTATTAACTGAAGAAAGGCCTCTGAGAATTTTTGACTAGAAAGTGCCAGATCATCACAGGAAGTCCCAAGATGATAGAATGTAGAGATACCAAAGGAGGACACCAAGGAGAAGACAGAAAAGGTCATGAACAGAGATAATGTAGAGAGGACGAATCAACCTCAAAGTGAGATAAAGTGGATAATCAAACCAGCACCATTGTGTACCATCATCATTAGAAACAGAATGGGCTCTAAATGCTCTTTATTTTCAGTACACCAAAGGAAATGGGTCAACTTCAAACTTCACAGGCCACTCAGCTGCCCCTCATCTATATACTACTTCCCCCACTGCAAATTTTGACTGCAGGGGTTCTATTTTCTCCAGCCATTTACATGCTCTGTGTTCCTAAGCTTTATTCTGTTCTTCTTAGTCAACTTATTGTGAACTGACTGATCTGCTCCCATGATTTCAGCTTTGATTTTTTTTCCCCCAGCATCAGTATCCAGTATCCAATGGGTCCCAAACTCAGAGAATTAAAAACAAAACTCCTAACCATCCATCTCAATGAATGTATTTTCTCAAATCAAAATATCACAGGCATTCAGTCATCAAAACTAGAAAACCAGACATCACCTGGGCAATTCCTTTGCCAGACTATCCACAAACCCTATCAGTTTTGTCTGCTCAATGTTTCCTTCCTTTCTTCCTTCCTTTTTTGCCCTCCCTCCCTCCTCCTTCCTTTCTTGTTTTTGTCTTTTGAAATAAAACATGAGTATATGTGAGTACATATCTTCTAAACAAATACATTTTTTTTAAAAAAACCCACCAAATTGTGTTTTAATTTTGCTTCTCTTTTTCTGGGTCTCAACATCTCTCATTCAGATTGATATTTTCTAACTGGTATCTCTGCTACTGGATGTTTTTCAATCCCATACTCTATGCAAGTATAACAAGAATTTTTCAGAAATGAATGTCAGACTGTGTTAATCCCTTGCTTCAAACAGATCAATGGCTTCTCATTGGCTTTGGAAAAAAGCCCACATTTTTGACATGGTTACATGCACTGTCTCCATCATTTGGCCCCTGCCCATCTTACACTTTCACTTCACACCACTCCCTGCAGTAAACTCCAGTTTCATGGTGTTTCCTTTGTGCACAGGGCCCATTTGTTTCCATACATTTACTCTTGTTTCCTTTGTCTGTAATTCTCTATTCTCTCTGCTTCCCCTCTGCCCTCCCCCAACCTTAATTATTCATATCTTGGAAAAGCAGCTGCCTCATCCAGAAAGTTTTTCCTGAAAGTACTGGCAGAACTGGGTTGAATATTCTCCTCTCCATTCTTTCACCCTGTGTTTAGAACACTATACAGTTTCTAGTGAGCATGTGTTATTTTTGTCATTAGAAAAATCAATAAAGACAAAGAAAAGAGAATAAATATAATAAGTCTGTACCAACATTATCTGTGCCCCATCTTAGACTGTAAGGTTTTTGAGAACACAAATTGTAAATGATTCATCTCTGCAATCCCACTTCTTAGCCCAGTACCTGGCAACTGAAGCTCCATAAATGTTCTGTTAAATGAAGGTGACTGACAGGAAAAAGAGTATATGAAAATAAATAATGGAAAAGATAAGACTTCCTTGTTAAAGTGGTCCAAGTCCTGATATTTGGACAGTTACAATGACTTCTTTATTATAGATTATTCTAGTAAAAAATAACTCCAAATGAGCAATTTATTTGCTTCTAACCAGCAATATTAATGCTATTGAAAAACTGTCCTGTTTGTGACATCAGATCTCTCACTTCATCACCCAAGGCACATTTTATAAAAGCTATGCCATGTGTAATCTTCATCAAGAGAATATAAAGGCAGAAGGAAGAACAAAACCAAGTAGAAATAAAGCTGGTAGCATCATGATTTGTCTCTTGGAAGATTACTTACATGCAGCAGCAATACAGCAGCAAGGAAAGACTGTCCTTGACAGTATCCAATGTCTTCATCATACACAGAGTAGGCCTGGAGAAGAGATGAAGAAATACTGTAAATAGTCATAGATTGTAACTGAAGTGTTAGCTCACATCAGGGATCAGAATAAGCTTATTCTGGGCTTTCCACCACAATTTCACTGATTTTTCAATTTGAATATGTGTGCCATTAGCTCAGTGGGCTGTCCCAAGAAGGCTGTGTTTTTCCAAGATGTCCCGTTATCCCAGACTCATCTTTGGAATGTGAAAATAAAGAGATGCTCAGAGGATCTGAATTCATTTTAAAAAACCCATTATTGTTTTAGGTGAGGTAGGTCAGATCATGGGAGGCTCGGGCAAAGGGTGGGGGAAGGTAAGACTCTGATATTGATTAGAATGCTAAGGCACTACAAGAGGGAATCCTGAAGGTTCTGGAAGTGTAGTGCAGGTCTACTATTCTGAGAGACACCCACCCCCTCCAAAAAAAAAAATTACCCTGTAGAACTTCTAGAAGTTTTTGAAGACCTTCTGAACTACTCTCCCATTTTCCACAACGCAGAAGAGCAGAAATGCTCCGCTCATCTCTCTTGCTCAGGCAAGGCAGAACAGTCAGTGTTGTAGAGTGCCTCATGCCACATCACACTCACCATTGTAGGTGCTCTGCCTGTCCCACATCTTTAGAAACACTCTAGCCAGGCCAGACAGAAGACACCCAATTAGGTCCCTCACAGGAAGTCCAGAACTCCTTGGAAAGTAACTATCATACCATTCAACCTAACATTTGCCTCTTTGTCTTCAGAAGAAAGGAAATAAGGTTGTATCCTTAATAAACACTAATAGTGCTTCAAACAGCTGGGATTGTAACAATAAATGAAGACCCCTTATACTAGATTTTAGGAGGCTATCAGTAAGTGAATATGCTGATTAAAGGACAAAGAACAAGTTGGCATTTTCTGTAAAAGTGCAGATAGTAAACACTTTAGGTTTTGGGGGGACAAGTAGGGTAGCAGTTACCTATAAAAACCATTCTTAAATCAAGGGCAATACAAAAACAAGTTTTGTGAGAAGGGCTCACTAACAACTGAGGTGCTGCCACTATTTTTTTTTTTTTTAAGATAAATATCTCAAGTGTGCTGCTGGAATCCTGGATATATATCCTACCTATGTGGTAAACTTCATCTTAGGTAATTTCCTTCAATTTGCTTAAAACAATGTGTTGCGATTTTGTGAGTATAAAAACTGCTTCTGTCCAGGGCAACTGTTATCAAAGATCACTAGAGAGGGTAACCTGAGAAGGTAAGGGTAGTACCTCCTATCTGCCAAGTCACAGGGGGGAGTCTGGAGTAACAGTGCAGTGTTTTGTTTTTTTTTTTGTTGTTTGCTTTTTGGTAAAAAATATAATAATAAGGACTGTGGTTGTGGCTTAGTGGTAGAGCGCTCACCTAGCATGTGCAAGGCCCTGGGTTCAATCCTCAGCACCACATAAAAATAAATAAATAAAATAAAGGTACTGTGTTAAAAAAAAAAGATAATAGTAAGCTTTTTTTTTAGAATTTACACTCAGTGAAATGCATACACTTTAATTACATGACTCCCTGAGTTGGGGTATTTTTTCAGTGCACCATTCCTGAATGACCACACCACTCCAGAACACTCCTTTGTGCCTCTTCGTAGTCAAACACCTCTACCCAGGCATACATTGATCTGATTTTTATAATAATATGTTAGTTTGGGATTTTGTACGTTTTATATAAACAAAATCTTAAAAAATGTACTCTTTAGTGTCCAGCTTCTTTTTATCTTTTTAAATTCTTTTTTTTTCTGCATTTTATTTACACCAAAAGTGTGATATTCACTGTGACTGTATTTATATATGCACACAATGTAACAATATAATTTGATCAATTCAGTTTCTTTTATTCAGCATGTTTCTGAGATTCTTCTGTGTTGTTGTATGTCTTAATACTTCATTCCTTTTTGTTGCTGAGTAGTGTATTTCTGCACAAATACTGTATGACTTGCTTATCCATTTTCATGTTTCCAATTTTAGTCTGATCTTTTCAAAGACCTTATTTTGGGTTTTATTATCATTTTGTTTATATGTTTTTTACTTCCCTGATTTCTGTTATCTTTCTTTATTATTTATTTCCTTCTATTTAATTAGGGTTTAATTTGCTAATTTCCTAGCTTATTAAAATAAAAATTTAGATCTTTCTTCTTGTCTAATGTAGACACATTTGAAGCTATGCGCTTCCCTCTAATTTACTGACGTGCTGGTTATAATGCCCATCCTTGTCAACTGTCATCACACTTGAATGTAGAGAGTCTCAGTCCAGGCTACTTCTCAGCTTAGTGGATCTCACCTCAGTAGTGTTTGTAAAGAACTGGGCAATTTCAGCTCCAAACTCCACAGCCTCAGAGGAAAAAAAAAAAAAAACCTGGGGTTATCCTCAGAGGCATGTGTCCAACACAGGCCCAACTGTGGCTACCTTTGCTTTGGAGGATGAGGAGGATGGGCTAAAGTAGGTCTATTTGAGCTCCATCTGCTCGTCTTTTTCTTGGGATGAAATGAACTAGATAATTCATAAATTTCGTCAATGGCTCTTAACAAAGGTTCTATGCTGCATTTATGCTCAAAATTTTAGACTGAATTAATCCATGAGTTATTAATAAGGGTTTATTGTAAGTTCTAAAGCAAATGAGTATATATCTTTTCTGTTCCTTGTGTTGTCAATGAAACATATGGGGAAAATATTAAAATCTTGATGTTCTATCTATTTTGTCCAACTTTAACATAAACTATTCATAGATGACTACTTTAAAAAATTATTTCCCGGGGCTGGGGATGTGGCTCAAGCAGTAGCGTGCTCGCCTGGCGTGCGTGCGGCCTGGGTTCGATCCTTAGCACCACATACAAACAAAGATGTTGTGTCTGCCGAAAACTAAAAAAAATTAAAAAATAAAAAAATAAAAAATTATTTCCCTTTGGTCTAGGCCTTCGGAAAATTTCTGAATAGTCACTTGGTAAAATTATGAGAGGAAAGGGAAAAGAAGGAAAGAGAAAAATTTATTCGACATAATTTATATAAATAAAAAATGACAAGATTACTGTGAATTCCAACATATGGAAAAATCCAACAAATCAAACAAATGGCCAAAACCTACAACAATCAAAGCAGAGGTCAGAATGTTGCCAACTGTGCTACTGCACCTCCAAAACCAAACACCAAAATATAAACCTTCATTGACAGATAAATTTCTTCATTCAGATACATGTTTCTCAAATAATCTCTATATTTTTAAGTCAGAGATCTTTTTACTCAGAAGTTGAAATTCCCAAATTTAAAATATTTAATAAGCTGCTTCAACCCAGAAAGAACTTTGCCTGTTTATTTTTTGTGTTTTTGCAAAAACTGTTTAACATTTCTATGGAGAAGCAGTTTCTCATTATTTTAAAACTGAGGAAGAACCCTAAGGAGTGACAGTTTCATCTGACTTTCTACTACTAGGAGAAGCATTTCAGCATTCATGATGATAAAGCTGAATAGTGGATTGAGTAAGAATCCCCTAATATTTAAAGGGACATTTTCCTTATTCTTTTTCATTAGTGCATTTTAATTATACAGAACAGGGGATTTCACGCTGCCACATTCACTGTGAATTTAACACATTTTGTTCATTTACAGCTCCCCCTGCCTTACCCACCCTTACCCACCTGTCCCCTGATTCCTTTCTGCTTATGTTTAAGTCTCCCTCTACTTTCATGTCTTTTCCCCCTAGATTTTACATGAGAGAACATGTGATACTTGTCTTTCTGAGTGATTTATTTTGCTCAACAGGATGATCTCGAGTTTCACCCATTTTCCTGCAAACGATATGATTTCATTCTTCATTATGGCTGAATGATACTCCATTGTGTATACAGACCATATTTTCTTGTTCCATTTATCTGCTGAAGAGCACCTAGGCTGCCTGTAACTTGGCTATTATGAATTGTGATGCAATGAACATGAGTATGCAGGTATCTCTATAGCATGCTATATCTGGGTCATGTGGCAGTTCTACTCTTGGTTTTGAGGGATCTCTGCACTGATTTTCACAGTGGCTGGACTAACACATGTAAGGGTTCCCCAACCATCCTTGCTAGAATTTATTGTTATTTGTATTTTTGATGATTGTGATTCTGATAGCAGTGAGATAGAATCTCAATATAGTTCTGATTTGTATTTCCCTGATGGCTAAATATAATGAATACTTTTTCATATAACTATTTTCCAAACGTATTTCTTCTTTGGAGAAGTATCTGTTCAGTTTAGATGCCTGCTTATTAATTGCATTATTTGTTTTTTGGTGTTTTCAAGTTCTTTATGTATATTCTGGATATTAATCCTCTGTTGGAAAGTAGATGGCAAAGATTTTCTCCCATTCCATAGGCTTTCTCTTCACATTCTTAATTGTTCGTTGTGTTGTGCAAAGGCTTTTCAATTTACTGTTGTCAATTTTTACTATTACTTCCCAATGTATAGGAATCCTATTCAGGAAGGTGTTCCTTGTGCCTGTATCTTGAAATATTTCCTCTACATTACATATTGAATTGATTTTTGAGTAGGGTGAGAAACAGGAACTAGTTCCAATCTTCTACATATGGATATCCAGTTTCTCCACAATTGTTCATTAACTAGTCTGTCTTTCCTACAAAGTATGTTTTTGGCACCCTTGTCAAGATCAGAGGACTGTAGCAGTGTGGGCTTACTTCTGTGTCCTCTATTTTATTCTAGTCGTCTACATATCTTTTTTTATATCAGTACCATGCTGCTTTTGTTACTATGGCTCTGTAGTATATTTTGAAATCAGGTACTGTGATACCTCCAGCATTGTTCTTTTTGCTCAGAACTGTTGCTTTGGCTATTCTGGGTCTTTTGTTTTTCCATATGAATTTTAGAATTTTTTTCTAGTTCTGTAAGGAATGTCATTGGCATTTTGTTGGGGAACATATTGAATCTGTAGACTGCTTTTCATAACATGGTCATCTTCATATTGAATCTACCAATC